GTGAGTAGCTCTCAGCGCCACCTGGTGGCTAAATCATAAGGTCCCCTGTTTTGTCAAATGAGGGGTTCCATAGGCCTGAAATACCACAGAATGGAATGTTCATAGAAATTTGCTGTTCCTAGAAAATTCTTTAAGGCTTGATGTCTGCCTGTGATGCAGGTCCTTTGCAATGTCCACATATGAGTCTATCTGAGTCAGTACATAGTCAGAATATCAAGATTACCTTGTTCTAGTCAAACATATAAGCAATGATACAATATGGCTAATACTTTTTGAACCTTAAAGATATGTCCCTATAAGTGCTAAGAGAAAAATCAGCATTATTATCTGAATAGGCCATGATATATATTCTAACGAGGCCTCCTGACTCTGGATCCAGCTGACTTTTCAGTCTATTGTAGTGTGTTAGGTAAAATTCACATTTTTAAAAATTTTTACTAGTGTATCTTTTTTAGATTGCCTTCATTTCTAAGCATATCCCTCTCCTCTGCTACCTAGTGAACCAGCACTTATAAAAAATAAAAGAAAGAGAAAAAAACAAATCAGCAAAACTAATCAGCAAAACAACCAAGTCTGATGGTATATTCAATAGGCATAACTCATATAAATATGATTATTCCCATTTTACATGTAACAAGATGGAGACTCTGAGAGGTGAGTGAAATGATCAAAGCACTAAGAAGCGTTTGAGGTGAGATTTGAGTCTCAGGTCTCCTGACTCCAATATCAATTTGAGGTCAACCAGAACCTCATTGGAAGATCATAAGTACAGTAAAAAAAAACCCAAAAAGTGATGAATTGATATCTATAACGTCTAACCTGTTCCTGAAAAGCCGTTCTCCCTTCATCCGTGGCTGTTATTCAAAGAAGGTTTCAAACCTTTGGTAAATCCAGCTTCCTATAAGTCTATGCCCCTGCATTCTTCTTAAAAAAAAAAATCTTCAGTCAGTGGCAGTGAGTCATTTGGGCCCAAGTAATCAGTGTAGGTATATGGTTCACCTCCCTTGATGAGGTAAAAAAAAAATGGTACTGCTACACTATCAACTGAAAGTTGCTTGTACCTCTTATGACTCAAATGTACTTTCATAATGTCAGTCCCTCACAGTCATTTAATGTCTAAATTTGTCCCTGTGGGGATGGAGGGAACATAGCAAGGGAGAGATCTGCTGAACCATCACAGTCCCAGTGTAGAACAACTGTGAGTCTTTTCCTTCTGTAAGGGTGAGGATTCCTTTCCCTATCTCCCCTTTAGTTGATATAGTCACAGGAGGCCCAGAATGCAATCCCAAGGTATTAATGTTAAACTGACTGTGGAGGTGAGACTGATTGCTAATCCATTTTACAGATGTGACCAACTCTCTGCTCTGAGTCAAGAAGGGGAATCACAGGAATGATCGAGAAAAATGAATCATACCTCGGGTAACTTAAAGAGCTGAACCCTGAGGAGCACCAGGCAGTAAAATCTTAGAGCAGATCAAGACGTACAGTGAAAATATTAGAAGTCAAGAGCTACCTGTGGAGGAGACGCCTTCAGAGGAGGAGGGAGAGGGAATTTCTCTCCTCCACCCCTCCACCCCCGCCATTTAGCTTTGAAAAGGCGCTGTTTAATTAGTAGAATATACTGCATCTATACGGTGTGTGTTTAATCATTTTTTTTCAGTCCTATCCAACTCTTCATGATTGCTTTTGGGGTTTTCTTGACAAAGATAGTGGAGTGGTTTGCCATTTCCTTCTCCAGCTCATTTTATCTGTAACTGAGGCAAGGAGAGTCATGTAGCTTGCCCAGCTAATAAGTGTCTCAGGCTAGATTTGAACTTGGGAAGATGAATCTTCCTGATTCCAGGTCTGGCGCTATATGAACTATGGCGCCACCTACCTATTTGGAGGATAGACAGATACAAACTTCAGACATGGATACAGAGAAATAGTTATCTGAGAAGAAGCAGCTTCTAGGACTGTGTCCCCTGAAGCAGGAAAGAGAGTCAGGACATGGAGATGAGCCAATCCTGGAACCTAATATAATGACTTGACTTGCTTTTGTTTTTGCTACAAGGCTCACACACGGGCCTCACACCATCGTACTCTGAGCACACTCTTCCCATGGACGTCATGTGTATTTGCAAGAAGGTGCTCCCCACACGGGTGGAGGGGAAGTTTTGTAACTATGTTCTTGCCATGCCATTCAAGTAAATGTAGTGGCTCAGGAAGACCCATCTTTGTGAGTTCAAATCTGACTTCTTGCTGACTGTGTGACCCTGGGCAAGTTATTTGATTCCCCTCGCCTCCGTTCCTCATCTGTAAAAAACGAGCTAGAGAAAGAAATGGCAAACCACTCCAATAACTTTGCCAAATTCCCAAAGGGCTCACAGAGAGTCGGACACAACTGAACAGCAACTTTGATAAAAGCTGAGTCTACTTGATTGTTTTTTTTTAAATTTGTTTTATTTTCAATTTATGGAACAAAACAAGCATTTCCATAACATAGCACAATAAAAAAGATGATTGTACACGAAACTATAAATCTACCATGTACAACTTGCTATTCCCTCCAAATACACAACAAAGGCATCAGGTATATTTCTTTTTTTTCCCCCTTCTCCCCACCCCTTCCCTAGAGATGGCTACCATTAGACACAAATAGGGGTGTGTGTGTGTGTGTGTTGTGTGCGCGTGTGTGTATACACACACACATATATATATATATATACATATACACATACGTATGTAAAATTATTCTATTGATTATTAATGGGAAGCCCAAGATGAGGAGGGGTAGGTGGGTCATAAGCTAAAGTGTTAGGAGTGTAGACTCACAAAGTTACCCACAAAACCCTATTTAGCAGATTGGATCTTGGATATGGGTATCCAGTCCATGAGTGCATTCCTCTTGGTCTTATAAACAATGGTGAAGGTATGGCTAGTCCTTCTGGAACCTCTAAATCCTCTTCACTGAAATCTTTCCCTGCTGGACTGGTCCATTGCTAGCCTGGCCCCCAAGCTTTCAGGGAAGGGAGGAAGTGTGTGGGTCTGATTCTTTCAGCCAAAAGCAAGATGTTTCCTGGGTGGTAGTATCAGTCTTCATGCAGTGGCTATAGCATCCTATCATCCTGTCTAATGATTAAGACTTATTATACATTTATAGGAAAATTTTAAAACATTTAAAGTATTTGCTCCTGTTGATTGATTGATTCTCTTTGGTATATCTTGTCTGTACATTAAAGACTAATCATGTCTGACAACTGATTGAATTGAGGTATCAGAACTTTCTGTGACCACATTAATTAAAGTGAGGGCAGAACCTCCTCCCCCTTACACTTATTATTATGATGCTCTTAGTGACCAGTTTCCTAGGCATGTTTCCAGTGTAGAGTTTGCTCAATCACGTTTCTGATA